AGCAATACAAGTACCTTCAATACACCAGTCCTGTATTTTGCTGAGTTACCTTCCTGGTTGACAATGGCACCTTGATAATATTGGAGTATCATTTATTTTCCTTACCTGTGAATTAATTTTGAAATGCACTTTCATGACTATGTTAAGCATTATTCTTTGTTCAAGAAAAGTAACTGCATTTTACTTCAATCATGGTGTTATTTTCATTTTTGCTTCAGCATGTCATGAACCTGTCTTTTATGGATGCTGCTAAAGGCTGCAACAAAGATGTTACAACAAGAACAAAAGTAGTATGTGATAGATGTAATGGCAAACGAGCAGAACCTGGAACTACTTATTCACAGTGTCCCACTTGTAAAGGAACAGGAGAGGTAAGAATTCTTTATTGCTGTCATGAACTCTTTGCTCTCTATCTTTGTGTGAGATTTTGTACAATTTTTTGGACAGTAAATGGTTTGAATGGGAAGATAACACATTTGATTGGTTTAAGTCTAATGGTCTTGGTGGGGTATCCCTGAGAAGGAATGGGTTTTTTTTTTTTTTCTTTTTAAAATTAGTGGTGACTGATGTTTTGATAACCTCTGCAGAAGTCTTTATGCTTACTACTTTGAGAATGACTTCCTCTCAGGTTGTTAAAATGTCAATCACTATTACAGACAGTAAAGGCTGATAGTTTCTAAAGAAACTGTTTGGGGCTGCATCAGTGGGTGTAACGAAATAATTTGGATATATCAACAAAGTTTAAATGGTAAATTGGCCGCCGTAACAATTACAAAAGCTGACATTTTGAGCGTTAGCCCTATGTCGGAGCTAACGAAGGGCTAACGCTCGAAACATGAGCTACTGTAATCGTTACAGTGGCCAATTTACCATTTAAACTTTGTTGATATATCCAAATTATTACTATTACAGACAGTAGTCCTTCCAGGAATACCCCCAGATGGATGATCAGAGTACTAGTCATGGCCACCGTCATGTGTCCAAGATAGCACAGGCATGAACCATGTTTATTTTATTTCAGGAAACAGTTAACACTGGATTCTTTCACATGAGATCTACCTGCCGGCGATGTGGTGGCCAGGGTGTTTTTATAAGCTCACCATGCAAGAAGTGTCATGGAAAAGGAAGAGTGAATGAGACAAAGACAATTACCATCCCAGTTCCTGCAGGTAGCACAAGTGATAAGAATTGTGTTCTCATAAGTATGACAAAGCTTTGGGAGAAAATTTATTGATAATGTTAGGCAATTTTAAAACAGTTATTCACTGAATTAGAGGTGAATAGTGGTGGATATTTACCAAGCCATGAAGCGGCAAGGTACACTGTAAACATCCACTACTTTCGATAACACTGAAGTAAATTAATGTTTTAGTATATACCACACAGATACCAAAAAATTAGTTTATTTCTTTCAATATACTACTGTTAATGGTCAGAAATTAAACTCTTGATGTGGGATTTTGTCTCTTCAGCTGCTTGAAGGTGAATAGTATTTGCTATTCACTTGCAAACTTGGCAGTCAGTGTGTGTGAAAAGCACTATTAACCTGTGTGGTATATACAAATAGTTGAATAAATGCTAACCAGTAAAGAAATCATAATATTTTGGATAGGTTAGTAAGTGGATTGCTATTTATTTGATGGATAGTGCAATCCACATTTGAAACAAGAGTGGGGAGGTCTAACTGCTTCTTAAATTAAGATAGCAAGTCATTTCCAAAGGATGTCATGATCATTTAAAAACTTTTTAAACTTGCAGGTGTTGAAGATGGGCAAACTGTTAGAGTGCCAGTTGAAGCTGGAGAAATATTTGTAACATTTAAGGTTTGCAAAAAATCAATCTATCAGTAGGTTCAAATTTTGGTGTATAAGTAAGAATGGATATTAAAGTACCATAGCCGTATTTATTTGGCCATAAGTGGAGCATTTTTTACACAACTTTAAGCTGGAGTTAAAGGAAATGTGGGCTAAAGAAATTCGCTCGGCTTACAGACAAGAGTTACCAGTTACCTTTGTTACTCACATGTTTTCTGATTGAGAAACTTTGTTCAACTTTGCCTTTTCATTGCATGGTCTTTGAATGAGTTTCATTCATTCAAATTTCATCTTTTTAAGTCCTGCGATTGGTCCCTACTTGTAGCCGAGTGTTTTGGTTTTTTTTTTATTTCAAGCTGATTAATTAAGTTGACTTTGCTGCCTTATAGCAGTAATAAAATATAGGTATTTAGGTGTACTGTGGATATCTGTTGATGGTCATTTTGAGTCATCTTTCTGTTTGTGTTCTTAGGTCAGTGAGAGTAAAGTGTTTGATAGAGATGGAGCAGATGTCACTTCAACAGTAACAATTAGTTTTACACAGGTCAAGTACCTTAGCATCTTTATACTTTTCTTGTACTTCTTGAAGCTTGTACTACTACCAGTATAGCGACAGGAATATTAAAAAACATTGACTCTCACTAATGTTAACTTTCTAACAGGGTAGCAGCCCCTAGAGCATGTCCTGTTGGTCATAAGAACCTGCTTACAATGTCCAGTTCATTGACAGATAAGGGAGGTTTGCAGGGATATTGGCACATGTTTCTGTTAATCTGATTTTATACTTTGCTTGCTTTGTGTTCATCCTTACCCCTCCCCCCACCTTTTTGGGGAAGTATTTATTCCACACACCAGTATGTTTGCAATGTGTTTAAGGTGCCTTGGGTGGGAGGTGGGGGGTTGGTGCTGAGACGATCTCCCTGTTGCTGAAGGAGAGTACTTTACAGCACCCACCCTACGTTACTCTTTTACAAGATGTTTCAAACATGAGAAATTTTTAACCTTTGATAAAAGAAAAAAGTATGGAAAACAGGTGTCATATTGTGTACCCCTACACCCTATATCAGCCTGCCCTTGACAATGGCCAGTTTTCCCAAATATCTGTGTAATTGATTTTTAGGCCATTCTTGGAGGTACAATACGTGCTCCTGGTATTCATGGAGAGATTGAAATCAAAGTGAGTGTAAATTATGTGTAAGTTTGTGAACCTCCATTTGTACTCGCAGTCAAGGACATGTTTATAATTTTAAAATGTTTAGCTATGATCATAGCAGTTTTTTCAATAAAATGTGGTACAAATGGGTAGTTAGTTTAGAATAGCAGGTGGGTAGTTTTGGAGGCTGGCAGGGTCTTCTGTTTCTGGGGAGGCTTGGGCTTTCATGGGAAGTTTTGAAGTTTTTTATTAGTATAGTTGCATTTTTTTTTTAATTTTTTGCATTTCAAGGTCTAAGACATGTGATGTTGCTTTGTAGTTCCTTGAAGTCAACCAATTTGAACAAAGTTATTAAAAGAGAAGAAGAAGTGTGTCACGTGTGCAATGATGTCAATGTAAAAGCCACAAGTGGTTAGCCACCTCATTACAAATTTAGATCTGTCCAGCTGCTCTTCAAGCCCCTTGTTGTCTGTTAGGCTATGCCCAACCCCCCCTCCCCTCCCTGTTTGGTGTAAATCTGATTAACTTCAGCCTTTTTTTTTTTTCCCTCTCAGATCCCTCCGGGTACTCAGTCTCACCAGAAGCTCCGTTTGTCAGGGCGTGGCATTCAAAGATTAAATGGCATGGGCAAAGGAGATCATTTTGTCAATTTTAAAATACATATACCCAAGTAAGTCTGAACGAAGCTTGTTGGACATTGATTTTTATGTTGTCACCTACGTGCGTAAGAGACAGAGGGGCCAAATGGTTTGCGCACTTGTGCACTTGCGCACTTGTGCACTTGTTTCTGTTTCATATGCTCAGGTGAAAACCCACGTTGGGTAATCTATCTTCCGGGAAAGTGAAACGTCGTCTTCGTTGAGGTGATATTCCATTCCAGAGTAGTAGTAGTGTTGTTGGATGTCTTTCTCTGGATATTGGTAGTTAACAGCTTGGCCCTTTAACTTGCAAGATCTTAGCAGCAATTCTCCTAACTGTCTGCTATAGAACTCCTATGATGGTAGTTTGGAGAGTTAAGCATTGGATCTACTCATCGTAATCCTCTAACTGATAATTTTATTCTCACCACATGTGTGCCTATGTCTTTGATAATTTCTAACGAGAAATTCTGTCTCGGTCACTCAGCGGAGTTTGAAGATTAACAGGGGCTAGATATTTTAATGACTGTGTTAGCAACGAAATATGAATGGTTGCTTTTTTATGCAGATACTTGAATGAGAAGCAGAAGGCTTTAGTATTGGCATATGCCGAGCTTGAAGATGAAGTCAGTGGGACAGTTAATGGAGTCGACAAATCAGTCAAAGGTGGGTAATTTGTTTCAAATCCACGCCAGTGGACAGTTTCACTTCTCTCTCATTCTCTTCCTTATATTTGAATTTCTTCAACAGAAATCTTAAATATAACGCCATTTTATAAGGGTGTGAATTGTCCGCATTAAGCTGTGAAGGGGCAGTCCAATTTTAGTATCACGTGTTTTTCCTATGTTTGTTTGTTAGATTGTGTGTTTAATTTGTCTTGTTTCGTTATGTGGTTTCTTTTTTTTCTTGTTGAGTGAAGCTCCACTGTTTGCGATAAGACGCCTGCCACCACAAACTTGTAGCAGAGTTTTAGTTAGGTGTATCGTCTCATTTGGAGCTCCTATTAAGATTTGACCAAGACAGGCCGATGAAGAACAAAGTAGCGGGCGTTTAAGTTCGA